GGCATTCCGCTATTCCTGCGGTCGCTGCCTGCTGTGGCTCATCGGCGCCGGTGTTGTCCCGCAGTTGGAGACTGTATTTCTGCAGTACAACATACTTTCACTTAAACACGCGTGTGACACATTTAAGAGTTGTTGATCCACAGCGGTGATGGTTACCTTTTGCAGCGGTAACTCGACTGCGAGGGCCGCGTAGGTCTCATAGGTAACTAGCATCCAGAGCAGAGTGCAGCGGTGCCTCAGCTAACAGTGCCGCTGCAGGACTGCTGTTTACAGGCCTGATGCTGCTGACAATCAGTGTTTATTCACTCTGTTGGTTTTCTCACCCCAGGTGACTCGGCTCGTCACCGCGTCACCTTTACACTGTGCTTATTCGGTTAGAGCTGATGGCCCTGCAATACACTGACACTGCATCACAATTGAAGTTGTGACAGACACACAGTGCGACCCAGTTAGGTTTAAGCTCATATGCATTCACTTTTATTTATTTTTTATTTAGATTTTGCTCCGTGTTTACCAACACGGAGCCAGGGTAAACACCAGAGTGAGGGTAAACATCCATCCAACGGCAACACTACCTTGTCATTTACATTGCTTTTCTTCACTGGTGTGTTTGAATGGGATGTTATAAACACATATTTCTGTTTGTACTGCGGTGTTAAAGGCTACGGACTTTTGGAGGTTGCCTGGAGACCATTGACCATATACTGTATAAACCTGGACAAGAATACTTTCTTTGTTTATGCAAGGTTAGGTCAGGAAGGTCACCAAAAGCGGTCTGTAGATTTTGCAATAACAATAATAACACTCAGACTACCAGGGCTGCATGCTGGACCAGGTGAATTGAGAAACACCAAAGCTGATGATGGCTAATCACCTATCTGTGACATTCATTCATCCGCAGCCACAGTCTCTTTAACAGGGATGAAGTGGAGGGGTGAGAGGGGGTAAATTGGATGCTTCATTCAGCCTGTCTCCATGGCAACTGGCAGTCTTTAAAGGCGTAGGGAGCAGCGTGTTGGCTGAGTTATTGCACACCTGCTGTCTTAATAACAAAGAGCGCTCCCCAGCATCCAGCTGTGAGGAGGAATCAGTGCCATGTCACAGCACGTGTGGGATGGCACCGATTTGCTGACGTTTGAAACGGGGTCAGTTTTTCTGCAACTCTGTGAGTGTAGGGGTAAGTAGTATATGAGCTGGTGGTGGTTTGGGCAGAGGCTGGATGCAAAAAGGTGACTAGCTTTTCTACTTGCTAAATGGATTATCATTTAGTAATGTAAGTCGACCACTTTTATACGTTTATATTTGTAGTTTTTTTTTCCAACAGATGGATGAAATTGTAATATGAAAGTTAGGACTCCTCGTATATAGCACCCTCTGCTGGATGCTCAGTTACTATTACAGATAGTCTGACGTATACTCTAGTGCTGGTTAAACTTTTGCTCCTTACTCTATACAGTATACAGCCCATTTCAGAAGTTCACCAACTGTGTGACTTAATCGTCATTTGTTAATAGCAAACACATATTAAGAAGTAAAAAATTAACATTTAACATTTTTTAAACATACTTTTACCCTTAAATAATAGCCAATAGAATTTTACTAACTCACAGAAATTGAATTGGATTTCCTTTGCAGAAATCATTGCGCACCAATTGTGGAACATCAGGAAATGATTCTCCAGACTCTCTTAGACAAACAACAGGACCACATACTGATAAATGCTCCATCTGGCTCTGGGTATGACCTTTGACCCCAACTGTCAGCTGAACAGAGCGACAGTTTACCCGTCAGATTGCCCGAATGAATGACTGCGTTCACTTAATAGTGCAACTGGTCGTCAGCTGTGCCGAGATCACACACACACAATCCAATCAATACCGCATGCAAGTGGGTTTCATAAGACGTGAGTGTGACAGATGGAGGGGATTGAAGGGAAAGTGTGGGAGATGGGGAGGAGGGCTTGTGTGGAGGGGGTGTTGGCATTTGGCTCTGTCTCTGTTGTGACATCGATGTGAGCGTTGGTGTGTGATCAGTAATAAGTCAGGAGATAATCTAATTAGATCCTTGTTACTTGTTTGTGCTATATTTGACGGTGTTAAATGACGAGTACAGGCTTCTGGAGGATTGATAGAGAACATATTTCCCCGATGGGGAGGTCTGTGCAAACAGGTCTCAAAAATTAATGTGATGGAATAGAGGCAATAACCACGTACGTTTTTGAAAGCAGACAAAACATGTAAGTCATGTCTCAGGGCAGGAAACGCATTCATTTCATTAGATTGTGCTGCCCTCTTGTGGACAGAAATTGTATATACCACACAACCTTTGGTTTAGGATCTTGTTTGTGTCCATTATGTCATCTCGGTACAAATTTGAGCTCCTGTCTTTTTTTTAAAACAACACAACAGCTTTTGGCAAAAACCAGGCATAGGTTTGTTTCCTGATTCATTCCATGACAAGTTTTTACAGAGCTGGTCTCATCAAACACGATGTTACTTCTATTGAGGCACCGTTTAGAGCTGATCTGGAAGCAAGAGGATATTAAAATAGGCGAGCAGTGTTCAGATTGGTGTTGTAGGATGTTTGTGGTGCGCCAGTAATGTCTAAGGAATGTAAGGTTGGTCTGCACAACTGCTTTTTGTGCTTTCTCACCTGCACAAGCATGTACCTGCCTCTTACCTCAACAAAGAAATGTGGGTAAAGGAAGAGGGTTGACGGAGATTTAGAATGGTGAAGAGATTTAAAAGTAATAATTAAGAAACGAACTGGGTAATCACAAACATTTTGCTTGTTGAAGCAAACAGTTATTCACACTTTTCTTTTCAGTAGGAAAGTCAGTAGAAAACCAGTAGTTGTGAATTTGTGTTGTAACAATGTTAAGTCAATTCTTGGTTCGACTTGAGTTATCTTAGCTTTGCTGAGTGCAAAGTTATAGCAAATTGTATGTAAAAAATAATCCTACATAACAAAATACTTTTATTATTTATGTATCTTCTTGCATTTTGACTGTGGTACTAATCCTGGCCAGCAGGTGTGGGTGATGTTAAAACTCTCAGTCTGACAGACACCCTGACCCCTTATAACCCTACCCTGGCTGCACAATGTTTGACACGAATTAAAATATTTCACAAAATATTTTATGACTGACCAAATATTCAAGTGGAGAAAATTCCAATGTTTGCTTTTACAGTTTACTAGTGTGTTAGGATTTTTGTTTATACAAGCACCTCAGCCTGAAGACGTGCTAAACAACTGCCAAAAATATGTCATGGCCTGTTTAATTATTAACAGTTTCCGTTGAAGTATTTTCCAACTAACCCTTTAAACGCCTGCAGCCCAGGCTGCATCCTTTTGGTCTGGAATGTTGGGCAGGTAACTGTGTTCTCAGTCTAAGTATGCTAGGGGCTGGTGCATGCTAATGTCACAATTTTAATATTTTCTTTATTTGTGCCACAGTAGGGAAATTGCACTTCTTTGGTATTTTATCTGCTCGTTCTAAAAGAACGTCAGTTCATGTGCTGTGAATGTGCCCTTGTGGAGGGC